GGTGCCATGAGGGTGGGTGGGTGGTTTAGGGGATTGGTTGCTCCATTTGTCAACATGTACTCTGCCTATTGTATTTAATAATAATGTCTTGGAGATTCTTTCCTGAAAATAAACTTTGATTACAAAAAAGTAGTCTTTCAGCCTGGATTGTTTTTTGAATGAGGCACAGTACAGGACTGCCAGTCAGAACAGAGCTCATTTACATGTATCAGTCTTAAAGGCACAGTAACGAAAAAAGCCTGTTCAATTCTAAAGGACAAAGAGATGCTGGAAATTGTTAAGTAAAATTAATTATGACCATTTGGTATATAAATATGGTATATAAAACTACATAAATATCTTAAGAAGATTTAAGGGGAAAAGATTAGAATAGAATTAAATGTAAAATGTGGGGTGCTTTTCTTTTTCCTACACACTTAAAAATGATGGTTCTTCAAGGATTCTATAGTAAAGAAAATAGTTCTATATAGAACCATGAACACAGAAAGGACCCTTTGCATAGTTAAAGGGTTCTTTGCATCGTGAAAGAGTTGTTCAGATTGATGGAGAATGTGTTTTATATGCTTCTATATAGATCTTTTCAAAAGAACCCTTTAACAATGCAAAGAACCCTTAATCATGCAAAGGGTTCTTTGAGTGTTCATGGTTCTATATAGTGTATTTCAGACATATGAGGTTTTGGTATGACAATGATTATATAATAATCTTGAATTGTTAAAGCCTGTTTAATGTTAAGCATAACTCTAACCATAGCCTAATCAAAAAAGAGGTATTTTGCCTTTACAGTTTTTTTCTGGTCTTGACAAAGTTTCTCTGATTTCCTTACAAAATAAGGGCATTTTAGTCCTGAAATATGAAAACAAGCCCACACTTATACCTTGAATAGCAAGTAGTCCATCAATTCATTTTGGTTTTCAGATAAGTTGACTATTTTTACGTCTTTCAAGCTCTTAATAATTTGTATGTCGTATGAAGGGCATAGCGACAAGATGCACAACTGGTAGTCCAATCCACTAGCCCATTCTCTACAATTTATAGACAGCCATTATGACTTGGCCCAACATGCTTATAGCAGCCCTCCCCTCCTCAGCATATGAATCAGCTTCCCTACAAATATATCAGTCATTTTTTTTAGATGCTGGTCATTAATCCTTGGTCCTCATATACAGTAGTAATGACGTGCAGCAAAAGGCTGAGACCAAAGGGAGAGCCTGTAGCCACCGACTGCGCCTCTAATAAGTAGGCTGACAGATCCGGCGCAGCAGAGTGCAGTCCTGTGGAGAGCGCAGCAGATTAATCCACCAGTCGAATTTAAACAAGACTGATTCTTACGCAAATACGCCACCGATCTGCAGAGACAGACTGTCAAATCATTCGCTCTCATTAACACTCATCCTCGCAACAAATAGAAAAAAGACAATTCTGTTAGGAGTGGAAGCAGAGCATCTCGTAAAACGTAACACTCGTTCAAGGGGCCTGAAACAAAAGCAAGAAAGTCGTCAGAGATTCTGTGAGCGCTGGGTGACATTCAAATAATCTGTCAGACAAGAAGAAAAAACAGTCTGAACAGGTCATTAGAGTGGTGACGGTCTTTTGGGATATAACCCTTTTGTGAGCAGGCCTAGAAACCAGACTGCTGTATGTAGGGCAAAGCGTTTGAGCAGTGCCTGTCAGCTCTTTCTAATGCTCGTCTCATCTGAAGAGCAGGATCTGATGCTCTGTTAGTGGCCCACAGCTGATGGATTGGAACTGGCTGCGTCTGGACCCGCTGCAGGAGGCTGGTGCAGGCCGGAGTGTCCAGCTGCCAAATTTGTGCATTTCCATTCATGTGCACATAGGCCTACTTACAGTACGTCTGAGTGTACAGATGTAAGTGTGTGTGTGTGAGTGAACATGTTTAACGAGGGCAAGAGGCATCTGTTTTCAGGGTGCAGGTTGTGTGTGTGCTTGAGTTTGTTTTCATACATTTTCAGGACAAAATGTGCTTCAGGTAAGCAGGAGTAACCTACAAGGTCAGTACCAGCCAAATGGTTCTGGCAAAAATGGTGTGTTGCATTTGTTTTAAGATTTGTTGTAAGAGTAAAACCATTCTTTTTGACTACTGCGGTTATGTAACAGTGCAAGACTGGGTCTGTTCCAATTCAACATCTTCATCTTAGCACAAACTAAACAGACTCCCAGAGGAGGGAAAAGCAATAAAAATATCTCCGCCTTATGCTACTCATGTATTTTTTTCACATTAATAAGCCATAGAATGCCACGCTATCAAAATTATTTTATTTTCAGCATGACACTCTAGTCTAACTTCTTAAAAGATGTCTGAATTGATATCGTTTTTGATTGTCTGTACATGCAAAAATAAATAAATAAATAAATATAGCAGCTTTAAAAATGGACAAACTCAAAAAGATATCAGAATTCTCTTAGCATTTACATATGACATATGTGTGTAGACTAATATGTATTGAAAATAACAGCGTTTGGCATGTGTGACTGTCTCATGTAAATACTTGTAAATAATTATGCTAATTTCAGTACTGTAATTAAAATTTTAATTTTTTAAATACGAACAATTACAAAGGCTTTAAAAGTTACAAAGGGCTCAAAGGGTAAAGGTTAAATTAGAAAATTAGTACATTAAATTAGCACATAGAGATACTTTCATTCTATCGAACTGGTTGAAAGTCTAAAATCCTTTTGCTTTGCATGACCCTATACCTTAATTATGTTTATTTTATTAAAATAAATGGTTAAACATTCCATTTTGTCACTAATCGAACAACCATAACACTATTGAAACTTTACCAAATATTTCAGTAGCGACTGTCTCACTGATGACAATTTCAGCATATTTTGAGCAGGACTCAAAAACACTAACCAGTACATGACTAGCAAACACAGCTTTGAACAGTTTACTGAATTGCAGAAAAAGTATGTTTTGGTAGTGACAGTTGTTAATGTTTCATACTGATTTTCAGATTTTGGGACACATTTACTTTAAAACAATGAGATCTAACTGCTCTGCATGTGACCATAAGGGACAAGGATGCAGTCTCACTTCCTGCTCTAAAATGCAGGGGTGTGGCTAAAATAAGTCTCTGCCTATGTACTAAAATTCTTTTTATTTAAAAATGTAACTTATAAATAAATCTAAATCTTTCAACTTCACTTTAAAACACATCAGAATAATCTTTTAAAAACAACATTGAAAAAAAAGAAAACAAAAAATGTAGGTATTATTTTCACTTTGGGACAGACACTTCCTAATAGAAAGTACCCTATAAATGATGATTTTATATATGTTTAGCTTATTACTATCTTAATTCATGCCTTGGGTTCAAGTATCATAACATAATCTGTGTAAATATGTTTGAATACCTTTATTATTTTTTTTTTCTGTGGGACTGCTGTTTGAGCTAATTTGGTAGAATGGTCCTCATATCAAAATCTTGTGTGCCATGTTTTTTTGCCCCATGTCTGAACATTGTGATGAATAGCCCAGTAGAAATGCTCCATGTATGATGTACAATAGAGTTAAGAATGCTTTTTTCTTCTACAAAGTTACCTTCTCAGAGTTAAAAGGTTTTGTTATGTGACAGTGACAATATCCTGTACACTACCATTCAAAAATTTGGAATTACCATTTTCAACAATATAAAAGCAAAGTTATTCATATATATTAACAGCAATGAATATAGTAAGACACCATGAAGCTGCTAATAAAAATATATACATTTTAGATGTGTACAAGATAATGAATGGAGCTGTGGTTTTAAAATGAAAGAAAATTTATGATTTATGAAAATAAAATAAGATTCCTCCTTTTTCAAAAGTAGAGATCAAATCTCAGAAAAAAACAATTTACATGTCCACGTAGTCGCCCCAGTTATGGTGTTTATTTATCCACCTAGCAGTTGGTGCACTACCACGTTGTATGTGTGTTAATGTGTCCAGTCAGTAAGTTTGGCCAGTATTGTTTATGTTATCATGTACTTGGAGTTGGTGGACTTTTAAGTTAAGCCCTGCTGCTGATGTAGTCGCAGGGTTCTAGGCTGTAAGTGTGTGCCATCTTCATTAAGGATTATTCCTAGATGCATCCTGCTGCAGCTCCTTCCTTGCCAATGTCACAGTATTAATGATCATTTTATTCACTTCATCTTCTTAGAATTCTAGAAAAATTTAATTAAACATGGAAAAGAAACATTTTTGTGTTTAGCCAATATGATTTAAATACACACTGTATACATTATTATTGTACATTTAATAACAAAAGAGAGATTTCATCCCATTATAAACTGCTTTGAAGAATTTACCTTTTTTCATATTAAATTTTACACATACCAAAAATACCAGTTCTAGGTTATGATTAATACCACCTTTATTAGAGAAATAAAAAAAAAAATCTGTTACTCAATAACTGTTATTTTGTTCAGAAACTCATTATATTTACAGTTCCAAATGGATATAAAGCATTTGGGAATGAAACCCTTCAAAAATTGTTAATATGGCAAGTGATGACAAATTTTGGAACAGTAATAAATGTCCATTCCAAGTTAAGATCCTTCCATTAATGTCCATTACAAGTTAAGACAGTTTTTTCTTACCAATCTGGCAATACAAGCTTTGTTCACAGTGATGATAAACATATGACTCCACACTTTGAATATGTGTAACAACAAGTGCAAGTGTGTGTGGTTGTGGTTGGCACTATCACTCCTCCCCATCTACTCCATATCCTTCAGGTGGCATGGGGTGTCAGTTACGGACTCCTCAGCAGGGTATAAATAGGAGTCTCTCCCTCCTATGGAGAGACACAATCCTTTGTGGGAACACTGAGATCCAAACAGACACAGTGAGAGGAGGCCCAGTCCGACACCCACACACATACACATTCACGCATACACACACACCTCCTCCTCAGTGCTCCCATGCAGAAAAGTCCCCAGGGGACTCTACGCCAGCTGAGCCTCAAAAACAAGGTAGGAGAACCCAGCTGACAGCCAGACTGGGGCCGCTCAGCTGTTCGCATGTGTTTATGTCTGTTTGTGTATACCAGTGTGTGTGAGTGAGGGGCTCAGTGTAGCTTTGTGGCTGATGCTGACAGTCAGGGAGGCGCAGGGCACAGGCACAAAGTGAGAAGAGAGAGAGAAAGAGCGAGAGATAATGCCATTATGTGGCCACCGAGGGAGTGTCATGGTAAGCCCTAGTTGATTTATTGATTGATAGGGGTTTTGATGTCGGAGACGAAAGCTGCCTGTCATATCATGACAGAGATGCTCTGAAAGACTTTGTAAGTCAGCGGTTGACAGCTACTGAGATTCTGGTGGTTCAGTGTTGTTTTGTTGCTTTGTCGATCTGCATCTGCAGTTTTGCAGTATTTACGAGTGCAGTCGCTTTTCTGGTACTTTTCATCTGCTGTAGTAGGCCTTACAACTTCTCTGTGAGCTCTCTCTTCCCTTCAATCAACCTTCTCGGCATCACAGGTTTTGTATTCTCCTGTTCACTGCTCTTAAAATGCCAGCGTAGTGCTCCTGAGGCCCTGACTCAAGTTCCACCTGAGAAAATGACTAATATAAGTGATTGACGGCCCTGAAGGGATAAAAGTGCCCATTTAGCAAACTTGCTGTACCCCAGGAAAAAAGGGAGAAAGGCTAGACACAGTTACTCCCAGAGCAGGAGCGTAAAGGAGAGAAGAAATGAAGTTTTCAGCAGCAGATCGATTCCTGAATGCTTGTCTCATGCATTTTACAGAGGAGCTAAATGCCACTTACAGAATAATGCGGCACTGTGGGTCAGAGCTGAGCGCTTCATCTTGTGCTGGGATTTGAGGGCACTTTGTACAAAACATTCTCAAAGACTTAAGTAAATCTGCCTGATTGTGTCACAGGACTCAAAGAAAAGCTGTACTTAAACCATTTGAGGCTTTATGAGTCTGAACCCCTTTTTAATAATGTGCAAAAAAAAAAAAATACTCCACAGCAGCCCAACTAATCTCATAGTCTCATAGTTCACAAAACTAATCTCTCGTTCCTTCTCTGCACTCTGTCCTCGTCTCCTCTGCAGAAGCCAAGACAGTGCTGATACCATGGAGACAGAGCCAAGCCTTCCGGCGGATACGCCGAGAGCCTCCATGCCGGACGAGCTGTGCCATCCTTATTCCAAATTCTCCGACTGGAAGTTCAAGCTCTTCCGGGTGCGGTCCATGGAGAAGGCGCCCTTGCCCAGTGAACCTCCCTTGGAGAAGGAAGCGCAGCTGAGGGTGGATGTGCAGGGGGATGCCGGGGGCCTTCCTGGGAGTGTTATGAAGCTCTGTTTGGGGGGCAAGAGCAAGGAGAATGTGGAGGGGGCTGGCAGGCGTGTGGATCTCAAGCTTCAGGAGATTGACACACACATGAACCATCTCAGGTAAGCTGCAGATGTATTGTTTGGTTTGTTAGAGTATGGGTGAGGTAATGACTGTGAAATAATCATCATTCCCCCTCATTCCTCGTCCTCCCTAACCTCATCCATTTTTTAAGAGAAACAAAATATCAAAATACAGCATAATAGCATTTTTCATTTTGCTATTTTTGTTATTGTCACTGTCTTGTTTTAGGTCAGTTCTGTAAGTGCAGGGTTGTGGTGAAACACCACTCTCCATACAATGAATTGATTCCAGTGCTGTCCTACAGTAACACTGCATATTTTGGTGTTTTGCTGATCCAACTAATCAGCTAACAAGCAATTCTTGGCCAGGACCAGCCAATGGGTCCAAATCATTATCATTATCATTATTATATACTTCTATTATATACTTCTATAACTGAGTCAGTTTGCATTGATTCCATGTAGTTACTTAATAATACGCCTTTAGATGTATTAACACTGCAAAACTGTTAACCTACATAAGTAGGCAGAGTACAAAATAATTCATATATTGAATGTCCTCCATTTTTTTCAGTTTCTAAACTTATGGAATTGTATATCATATTTCATATAATTAAGTCAATGCAATAAAACCTTTGAAGTATATACTACTCAAACCTATTTGTGACTACTTAAATACTGTGTAACAGCTGATTAACAGACTACTCCAAAAGTTATAAACTATTGGCTTTAAAATGACCTCAACCACTCATTTCAGGAGAATACATTGGTTTTATGTATTTGTACCAGTCTATTCAGAAACTGTTCAGAGTGAAATGTTTACCTTTATGTTAGGGTTAATATAGGCTAACTTGATCATGCATTGTAAAAAATGGTTCATCAGTTCAACATAAAAAATATTTAATGTGCTATTTAGGCAATTATCTAGTTTTATTAAAAAAATAATTCGAGTGATTCTTGAGTTGAATAAAACTAGTAGCTTGCCTGTTACCACATGAGGCAACTCTTTTTAGGGTGAACTGACAAACCAGTGTGGTAAACATAACATCTACTTATAAAATGCATCCAAACCTAAAATTTACTATGGAGATAACATGTAAACCCATAACTGATCCCTCAAATGGCCATAGAAGTTTTATAACATACTTCTATAACCTAAGAATAGCTCAACCAGTTTACACTCAAGTCCCTGTATTTACAGAATAATAAGCCTTAGTATGTAATAAGCCTGGGATTTTAGGGGGGATTTAACTTCATTTGTAAATAATTAATTTAAAAAAGCAAATTTAATTAACAGACACCAACAAAATCACAAAGAATGCTATAAAGCTCCACCTTCTCTATTATAATCAAAACTCTACAACATCATAAGTTACCAGTTTTCTAAGTTAAAAATGAAGTTGGGATTGTTAGGTACACTTGATACTTTTACTTTTGCTTTAGTATAACTGTTGCATATGTTTCATTTACTCAATTCAATTAATGAATTTGAACTTTGGGGTTCAAAGTGGAATTTAAAGGATTTAAAAGACTAGGGCAGGGAACAGCTGGTTAAAGGGTTAGTTAAACACCTAAATATGCATGAACACAAATGTTTTGTATTTAAATGAACCCAGATAATATTTTTCCTATTTTTCAGGTCTTTATGTCGCTTATGTGGCATGATTCTCAGGAAAGCCAAAGGCCCAGAGCATGAAGTCCAGGGAAACTTGGATGAGTCCAGCAAGTGTGCCCTGCGTAGGATGGGTTGCAAGGCTTCTAGCTGGTCTGAAGTCATTCTGAAGGTGTTTAAAGTGGATGTGAGTGGAGACATGGAAACCATCCACCCCTCAATGTTCTGTCACCGATGCTGGACAGTAGCCATGAGAGGAGGGGGGTTCTGTAGCTTTACTAGAACACGGGTCCCTGTGTGGAAGCCTCATACCTCACATTGCCTGCTCTGCTTCCCCAAGAGACTCATACTTCAGAGGAGGGGAAGGAAGAGAAGCAAACCACTACGTAGTGCACATTGCCTGCCCAAGAGGACCAAGAGAGACTCTTCAACACCCACGGGGGGCAACAGAGTGTGGAGACAGACCACAGACAACTCAGAAGCATTTGGCTTGAGGTCATGGGTAAAACCAGCTGCTCAGAAAACCCTTTGGGTAAAGAATATAACTCGCTGTCAGAAAGACCACCTAAGCTATCAGCTACTCCCTGGCGATCTCCCAAAAGACTTTGTGAATGGTGTTACCTGCCAGGTGTGTGAGCACCTGCTCTCTGACCCGGTCCAGTCCCCGTGCCTTCACCTCTTCTGTCGCACCTGCATCCAGAAATACAGCCAATCTTTGGGTCCCCAGTGTCCATCCTGTGGCATCCTTTTTAACCCATGTGACTTGACTAGCCCTGCCAAAGCCTTTCTCTCCGTTCTCAACTCTCTTCCTCTGGTCTGTCCAAGAGAAGGCTGTGGGGAGTGGGTCAGATTAGACTCCTTCGGAGACCATTGTCTGAATCACTGCCTTGAAACAAATGACGACGAGGGACAGGATAATCCAGAGCAGAATCTGGATGGCTACCTGCCTGTCAACAAGGGTGGCCGTCCTCGACAGCACCTGCTCTCGCTAACACGAAGAGCGCAGAAGCACAGGTTGAGAGAGCTGAAGAGTCAGGTGAAGGTATTCGCTGACAAGGAGGAGGGTGGAGATGTGAAGGCCGTGTGCTTGACACTGTTCCTGCTGGCATTAAGGGCTGGGAATGAACACAGGCAGGCTGATGAGCTGGAGGCCATGATGCAAGGTAAGGCTCAGATGCACATCAGCAGGCCAAACTACAAGCTATTAAAACAGTGTCATTTTATAATATCTCAACTATCGTGCATAATATTTCAGTTTTTACAATGCGTTAAGTACAAAACAGCAGTAAGCAATAAAAATCCCCCAATGATTGGCTCATAAAATGATAAGCATAATACAATGAAAACAAAAACACTTCATTAAAAATGAATGAGCCCAATGTTGTATGTAAAAAATCAGTCTGAAACCCAATAGTTTGTCATGCTCAGTCAGGCCCAGGTTGGTAGCACACCTCTAACTCAAATGAAAGTAACAGGGTTATTCCTATTCTTGTACACTGATTTTCTACTATGCAATACATTCACACAGGATTAATCAAGTTCATGAAACAAATTGAGCACACATGTGACATCGTTGTCTGGCAGATTACACTCAAAAAGAATAATATCAACTCCTTGTTATTGTGACTAACTGTTTAATTTAAATGGGATTGTCACCACCAAGCTCTGTGTGTGTCAATCTAACACACAATAACACCTCTTGTCAAGAACCTGTTAGACTGAAAACAACATCAGCAGCTCTTGTATCTGCAAATGACACAGGCAGTGCTGTCCTCTTCTCTAGAGAATTGGGGCCAGCTGGTGTCTGTTTTCATCACTAGCCAATAGATCCCTTTGCCAGCCCTACCGAATCACCTCTTCTGTTTCTCTAAAATTAATAATGATCACAAATCTAATACTGCAATTAGGACAGAGCTTATACTGCAATTATCATCAGAAATTTCAAATTTGCTAAGGGCTTTTTCTTTGCTGATAAAGAGAGAGAGAATTAGATACACACAGACACTACACACAATCACACACACATTTTCTCTCTCCTCATCCCCCCACTTTATCCTAACTCCTCTCATACCCACACCCTCCAGTCTATATGGTTCCATGAACTCGTTATTTGTGCCTGTGTCTGGCTCACACTGGTTTTGTTTTCTCTCTACCTGCTCTTTCAGGCAGGGGGCTTGGCCTGCACCCTGCAGTGTGTCTGGCCATACGGGTCAACACCTTCCTCAGCTGTAGCCAGTACCACAAGATGTACCGCACCGTCAAGGCCACTAGCGGACGCCAGATCTTCCAGCCCTTGCACACCCTCCGTACTGCTGAGAAGGAACTTCTCCCTGGCTTCCATCAATTTGAGTGGCAGCCTGCTCTCAAAAATGTGTCTACCTCTTGGGATGTAGGCATCATTGATGGACTCTCTGGCTGGACAGTCTCTGTAGATGATATACCAGCAGATACCATTGCTAGAAGATTCCGCTATGATGTGGCACTAGTATCAGCTGTCAAAGACTTGGAAGAGGACATCATGGAGGGACTAAGGGAAAGAGGGTTGGATGACAGCACTTGCACTTCAGGTTTCAGTGTGGTGATCAAAGAGTCATGTGACGGCATGGGAGATGTCAGTGAGAAGCATGGAGGAGGGCCAGCTGTTCCGGAGAAGGCGGTGAGGTTCTCTTTTACAGTGATGTCCATCACGGTTCAAGTGGAAGGTGAGGAAGAAGCAGTCACAATCTTCCAGGAGCAAAAACCCAACTCAGAGCTCTCCTGCAGGCCCCTGTGCCTGATGTTTGTGGATGAGTCTGATCACGAGATGCTGACTGCCATCTTGGGTCCTGTAGTGGCAGAACGTAAAGCTATGAAGGAGAGTCGCCTCATTTTGTCCATAGGTGGGCTTCTTCGTTCCTTTCGCTTTTACTTCCGAGGCACAGGCTACGATGAGAAGATGGTGAGAGAAATGGAAGGGTTGGAGGCTTCAGGCTCCACTTACATCTGCACTCTGTGTGACTCCACACGAGCTGAAGCCTCTCAGAACATGGTGCTGCACTCTATCACCCGAAGCCATGAGGAAAACCTTGAGCGCTATGAGATTTGGAGAACCAACCCTTTCTCCGAGTCTGCAGACGAGCTGCGGGATCGAGTCAAAGGGGTCTCAGCTAAGCCTTTTATGGAGACCCAGGCCACGCTGGATGCCTTGCACTGTGACATTGGCAATGCTACAGAGTTCTACAAGATATTCCAGGATGAGATCGGCGAAATGTACCTAAAAAACAATCCAACTCGAGAGGAGCGTCGACGCTGGCGATCAGCCCTTGACAAGCAGCTGAGGAAGAAGATGAAGCTGAAGCCAGTGATGAGGATGAATGGAAACTACGCCCGGCGGCTGATGACCCGTGAGGCCATGGAGGTGGTGTGTGAGCTGGTTCCTTCAGAGGAGCGTCGCAAGGCCCTGAGAGAACTGATGGAGCTGTATCTCCAGATGAAGCCCGTGTGGCGCTCCACCTGCCCAGCCAGAGACTGCCCTGATCAACTCTGCCGTTACAGCTTCAACTCCCAACGCTTTGCTGAACTCCTGTCCACCACATTCAAATACCGTTACGATGGCAAGATTACCAACTACCTCCACAAGACTTTGGCCCACGTGCCTGAGATTGTGGAACGAGATGGCTCAATTGGTGCTTGGGCCAGCGAGGGGAATGAGTCTGGGAACAAGCTTTTCCGCCGCTTCCGTAAAATGAACGCCAGGCAGTCCAAGACATTTGAGTTAGAAGACATACTAAAACACCACTGGCTATACACATCCAAGTACCTGCAGAAGTTCATGGAGGCTCACAAGAATTCTGCCAAAGCACTGCAAGCCACCATCAACCCAGAGGAATGCCCAGATGACTTGGATATGGCAGACATACCAGACTTTTGAAAGTCTGAGGGTTGTAGGGGTACTTTGACTTTAATATACTTGGACATTTCCTTACTTGACTTTTTTATGGGTGTCTTGATATGACACTTCTCAAATAACTGACTTTTCTCTTCAGATAAGCTTTAACACCATGTTGAATTACTTTATTGATTACCCTTTATCATTTTATATGCTTGTCTTTAAAGTTGGTGTCATTTTTTTTCATGGCTGAGATAAGATTAGGAGGGAATGGCTATTCTTTCTTCTCAGGGTTTGCAGGCAAATTTTTGTATTTCATCCTCGGCTGCTGGTGAAATATGGGATAGTTTATTGTATTACTGGGTTATGACACATTCATGAATTTATACAGAAGGATTATTTATGGAACCAGATGAAAGCACTGTAAGTCACAGAAGGGGAATTGCTTTAAAAGAGCCCCGTTTATGATTGCTGTATTAATTTATCACAGAGGGCAGAGACAAAATGGAATTAGGAAAACTCAAACTGCTTCAGTTTCAGAAGAGCTAGTGAAAAGGATTACTTTAGTGTCATATATCAGAGACCTCTTGAAAAATAGCAGCGGAGCAAAAATGACTTTGAACGACCCCATACTGCATATTTACACGTTTGCACATTGCAGGAGACACGCTATTATTCTACCTCCGTTTTTAATCATCTTGAGATTTTGCACCCACCTGAACACTTAGCATTAATGCAGAGGAGACAGTCAGATAAAACCACTATGCTATATCACAGTGCTCTTTTTTCACTGTTCATTTTTCATTGTTCATTATAACATACTTGTTTTGTGTCATCTGTCTGATTGATTGATTGATTTGTTATTTGACTTTATTTACTTGTTTGACTTTATTTACTTTACTTGATTAATTGATTACAGCTCAGCTCATTATGCAATATAGGTACTTTAATGGTATGTTTAGTTGATTTATTGATTGATTAAGTTGTTTTAATATACAACATTATGTACTTTATTGATATCTTTGCTTGGTTGATTGATTGATTGATTGATTGATTGATTGATATTATTTCAATACCCAGCATAATGTAACCATTGAACCTGTTATTATGAGCCAAAATGAATGAGCAATTTGTGGAAATGCAGTTTATTGTTATTCATTTTGATAGGTTGTTGTTACTGACATGTGACATGCTGTCAGCTCTAATGTACTTTTTACATGTGGACGTATCTGTTTGTTAAATGATGGACATGGTTTGTGTAAAAAAGACTCTGATTATATGGCTGTTGGCCAAGAGCCTCAGCTATGTTTATGTCAATTTTTTAAGTGTGTCATAATTTGAAACAAAACACTTTCATGCACAATTTATACACACATTTTCATTGCAGTTTGTTGATTTGCACACAAATACTGTTCTCTCTCCAGTTTTCTTTCTTATGAGAGCGTAAATGTGACTGCTTTAACACAAATTCATTGATCTTGTTCAGAATGTCAATGAAGTGTTTCATACATATTCACTTTAAAACAGTTTTTGACATAATTGTTAAATGTGTTCATGATTAATAAAATGCATTGTAATAAAATAAGTTGCAGCATTATTGTCTTCCAAAAAACATCTTCATTTATTATCTTCAGAAACACAAGTGATCAATTTTTATTATTCTTTTTATTTCAAATCACTCAAGAAATACATTTTCCAAGCATTTATTCTCCATAACACTGGAATTATATTATCATAACCTGAAGAAACATTATTACGCAACACTAAGTCAAGTTTAAGGTACTTAGCAAATAGCACTTAATTGCAGGTATTTATAGGTATTATAGGAGTAGGCATCATAGTCATTCAGCAAGTAGCACATAATTGTCTGAACATTCATTTCTGGCTCTGACATATAACCAATGAAGCAAGAACAGCTCAGTCAAACAGTCTCCTGAGGAAACTTTTCTTGGCTGGAGTCATTTTCAGCATGATAGGGGCTTTGCGGTGCATTGTCTTCATTGGCACTCTCTTCAGAGGCATTGATTGACGTGGTGGGGTCATCTCTTGCTTGGCAAGGCCTCCGTGGTCCAGGCAGTAGTATTTGCTGTTGTCCTGAGAGAGGCGTAGCAGTAGACTCTCGGAGAGCTCCATGCACTGAGCATGCACCCAGTGTCCACCTTCACCTCTAGAACAGAAGATCATGGCTGGTCGGGTGAGCTCAGTGGAGTAGAAAGGCTCCCAGGTGTTGATGTCTACCTGGCAGGTGAGACAGCACTTGATCCAGTAGCCGGTCTGAGATTCATCCTCCTCATCTTCTTCATTGTAAGTGTCTCTGTCTCCATCGCTGCTGTACTCCATCTCATTAGGATCACGTCCAAAGTACAGCTCTTCTGAATCCTCTAGAGGAGCCGAATCCTCAAAGTCTGTGGACTCCTGGCTGCACGTCTGGGTTGGATCTTCCGCATCTTCCTCTTGCTGGAAGCTTACCTGGTAAAAGTAGTAGGCATCTGGAGGTGCAGGATTTCCCTCTGATGGAATAGCAATCAATGCGCTTCCCTTTTCCAGGCTTCCACCAAACCAAGTACGGCTCTGGCTGATCTCACTGCTCCACTGTGGTGGCTCTCGAGGTTCCATATGTATGCCTACATCATCCAGTGTGATGTAGGTGCACTGCATTCGCTTCTGGGAGTCTGACTGGTAGCCACCAAGGATGATATACTCATGAGCAGGACCCACAGGAGTTGCAATGGCGCTTGTGATAGACAGACCATCATTAAACATATCACAAGAGAGAACTGGGCTGCCTAAGAGAAGCTCCACACGCAGCCTGAACAGGCGAGCCGGACGGCAGTCGGTGGAGAGAATGTGGCCACCTAAAAAGTAAACACAATCCTCTCGAGCCAGCGCCACATGGAATGACTGGCCATCCGTGAGCTCCGGGAGGGTATGAGCTGAGCAGCAGCCAAACTCCAGGTCAATGAGGTACACCTGGGGTGGACAGTCCACCACAGTGTTCCAGTTCTCTGTGGTTCTCTCAGCAGGTGGCATGTAAGACCTGCCGCCGAAAAGAACACAGGCTGTTTTTCCCCTGCTGTGAACTACACTAATGGTGTGGCCATACCGAGGCCCTGGAGGCTCTCCCACCAGCTCTTTCTCCAGGCATCTCAGCGTGACTTTTCGATTGCATCCGCGACTGTCGACACTTAGCACGTAGAGGCTAGAGGACAGCTCATTATTGGGTGTCCGGCCCCCATGAATGAGGTAACACTCAGGGCTTCCATCACGAGGTTTTAGATGAGCGATTGCTGGACACCGCAGAGGTGGAAGATAGCAGGAACTGTTGGAGAATGAGATGGCACGCAGCTTGAGCTCCCCACATTTAATACGTACGCCAAAGATGCCTGTTGGACAGGAGCGTTTGGGCCAGCCTTTCTGACCGAAAAGGTAAACGTCACCTTCCAGATACAGTAACGAGCAGCCAGGTTGCAGAAGTCCGGCACAGTTTATAGCGGTCAGATGCTGCAAGGACATTCTTTTGCGGATGTCTGTAGGGTTTAATGAGAAGTAACATGTCAGTTAATTTGATTCACTTTAAATGATCTAAACAATTTTAAGATATGAAACTGCAAAGACAGAACAATTATATAAGCCTGCTCCTTTGGATAGGGAGAGGTCAGGTTAACTGGGACCTCTAGTAAAGTGAGACAGTTTTCTTAGTGGTGCTGTGCTTTGCTGTTTTTTTGGAAAAATCACTTGGATACTGCATAATATTAATACATCTTGTTTAGATGTTGCTGTATGTATGCTGAATTAGAATAACATTTGGGATAGATGTGTTTAACTGCATTTTAAATATAAAAAGCTCAAGGTGAGTATGCTTGCACAGAATTTTCTAAAACTGTTTAGTCAGGCTTTTAGTAAAGGGCTACCGATTTTAAAGTGCTATTTTAAAGTGCTATTCTCTCTCCCTCCTGCCCCACTCAACTTGAGAAGCCACATGAAAAAAACAAGGGGTTCAGATTCTCTTTAGAAGATGAAGTGGGAAAAACAACTAATTTCAGCAGACATGCAGATAAAGACAAACCTAAACGAAACAGATAATACTTCAATGCTGAGTGAGTGGTTTGGATGTTAGCCAGCGTCCCACTTTGCCTGTATTCGTCGTTCACGAACGCATTAATGCGCCATAACGTTTGTAGTCCCTTTCGCTTTAACCTCCCAACCGACTCCACTCAAACCAGAACGCAAAGACATCAATACCCAGGATTCAACGCGAAACGCGGTTGCCTGAGGAACGTTGTCTAGTGGGTAGGTTCTCTCTGTAGCCGCTTTTCTGAGCTAAAAACTGTTTGGTATAGTATATTTTCATTTTGCCGCTGGCTTATTTAATTTTCCTCTCAACGAATGTCTTATGAAAAGAAATAACGCGAGGTAAGCAAGTGACACGGTGGCTAAATCGAGCAGCATTTGAGCCGGAGAGTAGTTCAGTTAGCATGTTAGTTAGCAACATTACAAGCTGCCTGCGAGGATAACAATCAGTTTTCAAGCAAGAAGACAGACAGACAGACGGCGCATCTGTTCTGTTGAAACGGCTGACGCGCAATACTGCCCAATGTCAAAACTAATTTTAATCAGTTACAGATGTGGAACTTTAATTTTAACCTGCATTTGTCTGTAGTTTCTGTAAAGCTGTAGGTTTAGTCAGTCGTACGACGCAGTTTTGTTTTTCGTGCTGCAGTGATAGTCTGACATGAACAACTTCAGTTGTGCTCAGTTATCTGACGACCTTCTGTATGTCTGTAAGCACTAAAACAGCCCCGTTAGCTAAGTTTTTCACCACTCATTTTCTTTGATAATTTCTACGTGCCCATTTACGTTTCAAAATAATGCTAGATAACCACTGCTGTGAACATGTCTACAGTGCACTGCATGCCCAGCTGTCAGGCTAACGTTAAGTTTCTGCAGCTTCCTCTTTCATGTTCTTACCTCTTATAGTATAAATTCCGAAGGCTGATTACTGTTTGCTTGCAGTAGTTGTCCCAACTGTGTTCTTACACAAGAATTGATAGTTAGCTTCCTATAGTTTTAGAGCTCAGAAGCTTGTGAAGGTCGAATGATTGCTGATGAGAGTTTCATATCGAGGTTAACCGGCTGTGAAGTGTTATCTTCAACAGGTGGTTGAGCACAACACACCAGAACCACGTTTGAATGAAAACAAGCATGAAGTTAGCTCTACACACAAGGATTTGACTTGTACCGGCCATAAGACATGAAACTGAAAACAATGAACCTAAAAGAGCATGCACACAGTGCATCTCACTGGTCTGATATTGAAGGGGATTTTTTTCATCATTTCAATCATTCAGAATGATTTAATGTGAAATGATTCTTTGTGGAAAAAACTATCGATTTTGGATTTTTTTTTTACAGTGGTGGTGATGGGAATCACAGTGGATTACAAAGTCTATGACACAAATATTGCCATTTTATTTACTATCCAAAACAACCACTGAGTCTACACCTACAGCTCCTGAGTTAACTCGGACACTGTAAGTCACACATTTCACATCAAACCACACTGAATGACTTTACATTATAACAATTACAACTTTAACCTCTTTAACCATAAAACTGCTGGGCCTGCATGTAAGCCCACACTTCTATTCTTTGCTCTCATAACTACATAGCGTACAGTAGTAAACAAATAAATTTGTAGGAGTTGCTAAATAAAGACTAATAACTGAGTAATAAGCCCAAAGTTCATGGGGATTAATACTACTATGTACAGTTTTATGGCTGAATTTTCATAATCTTTCTAGACAGTCAGTGCCTTAGCAAATCCAGCAGCCTACATTGTTCTTTATATAGATTTTTTTTAGGTTGTTCTTCGAGTGTCTTGCTATCTTCTATATAAGAAAATCTGAATTATAATGTAGAATCTGCTCAATATTACACATTACATGTACTTCATAGTGATCTCATCGACAGGTGGATGAAACAGCTTTTCCTCTGAATTTCAGCTTTGAGTAACATCATGTAAAGTCAGTGAGAGAATTATATTCACACTTGCTCGTCACCCTGAGCCTAGTGAAAGACTCATATATCAGTCTGCTGCATCGCCACTGGCAGCAGAGTACAAATTTATCAAGTTAGCCTTTTTTTGTTGTTGTTGCTGAGGCTGACATGTTTTTTACATTAACCATTTCTGCTTAGCCAGCCATGAAGGAGCAGAATAAGGTAGGGAGAGAGAGGTGGTGAAGTGCACAAGATGATCGAGAGAGTCTAAAAGAGATGGAGAAAGTGGGTAACAGCTGTTAGGAGTTCATTAGCATAATGTTTTTGTGTATTGGGGGCTGTGTGTGTGCATCTGTGTGTATGTGTATGTGCAAAACAAAGAGCTGTAACCACGAGTGCCTGGAAGAACGTTAGAGCTCAGAAACACAAACACTCGAGCACCTGTGTCTCTGCGCTGCTGCTAAGTTGCAGGGCAGGAGAGGGGGCTTAATTGACTCCCCCCAGTGCCGGTCTGATGGGATGCCTCCAGCATTTCAATAAGCTGTAGGGATTTTTTCCATGTGTTTGAAATGCATATACTCAAGCTACTCACTGTGGCTCTGTAGAATGAGCCTGCATTCTCCTGTTCTCAAAGCAGCACCGCAGCCCTGAGAGTGGTATTGGCCATTGCGGGTGTACAGCAGAGATGGACCGGAGGGAGCACTGAGTGAGTAGGAGGTATAGCGCGAGCCTGGGGCCATGCAGGAGACTGCACTGTTTAATTGATAGCACAAGGTAATTAGACTCTAGTGTAGCACCTGTTTCCGTCCCTTGGAATGTCGTGCTACCTGACGATGGCTCCCCTGAAGGAAGGGCTTGACAAATTACACGGTGACAGCTCAGATGTTCCGATGATCGTTTTGTGTGGTCGTTCATTACTCTTTAATGTCACTGTAATCATTCCCCCCTCTTTACTGATTGTAATTGAGCTGAACTTCAAAAAGATAATTTCACCTTAATCAGGGCTAATGTGGCTATTATGCGTATCATTGTGTGATTAAGTGACCTAACGAGAAGAGCAGTCTTACGCTTACTCTCCAATCATCCGTCTCCCTTTTTACTCTTTTTCCACCCTTATCTTTTTTCCATTCATGTAGGGTACATTGTCTGATTTGATTCATTGTACAATGCATAAGGTGCATGATCAGCGCTCTCTAACTAGGTATTTATTTCCTCTTTTCCTCTTCTTTGCTTTTTTTCTAATGTCCTCCTCCTCTTCTTCTCTTACTCTGTAGGTTTAGGGGAATGCCTGGTTTGCAGAGTAACTCTGGTGCTGTTTCTCATGATCGGGCCATGGTGGAGGCTCTCGAACAGTTCTGCAACTCTTCAGAGCAGTCCTATGAGCAGTTTCTGTCCACCTTCACGTACCTGACCACAGGTTAGTACCTCTGTCAATATGTCGATATCTTACATAGCAGAGTCACGTGTCACCTACCCAAAAGAGAAGTTAAATGGCACGCTCCATAGCTGTTAGTAGTTTTACCTTTGTCATTTTTATCCTGTCTTGTCTCCACCGTTTCAATCTCGTAGAGAACGTGACGAGGGGGAATTTGGAGGTTCCTAGGGGGGATAACAGCACCTCTGTTGGAAGGATGAACAGAAGAAACAGGGAGGTTACAGACAGAGGGGTGGATGTGGTGGATGAAGGAGAATCTCGATCCAGAGTGGAGCAGAATCATCACGCACTCACTGCACAGCTGGACGAGGTTACTACCTTATCAGAGTCAAATTCCACTTTGTCATGTCAATTGCGCACATTTGTATAACATGAATGAAACATTGTTACACTGTCTTATGGAGTAACATGAGGCATGGACAATAATTGAAGAGGAATTCTACCAATTATTCGGAATTTCTATTTAATTCAATGTTTGTGAAGTAAACAGAGTTATTCAGAGTGGTTTAATGTGGAGCGGTTCACTGCAATGACTCAGATTTCTTTACAGTAGTGGTGACAAAAAAAGGGGTCACAATGTCAACAAAGAACAAACACAAAAAAATATAGTATTTTATTTAATATCCAAAACCATCAGTGAACCTACATGGGATTTTTTAGTTTTTATATGTAATGTTGATGATCTGAAAGAATCTGAAAAAAAATATTTTTCCTTTGGGGACTGTTTTGCCCTACAGAGCTCTGCATGTATCTCTCTGACATGAATGAATTAGAAAAACATGTATTAGGGAAAAGCCATATGATATAACTGTTGTAAATCAATGTCTCAGGCAACAGGCAATGTATTCAAAGCCATTTCATGTAATAACTTTGTCAGGTAGCTTTTAGGGACATAAAACTCTTCAGTCATCTGGGTCCTATCCCCACCAAATCTGACTTAACTGTTAAATTGTGAAAAAAAAATCAAAGATTGCTGGAATTCCCCTTTAATCAGTGTTCACAGTTTCACAATACAGAAAGGTGGTGAGCAGTAGGTAGACAATATAGGAAAAATGAACAAACATTCATTTTTAGACTTAAAGTATGAAACATGAGAGTAAGCAGTGAAAATGTCTTTGTTAAAGCCAAATCAAATGAATGAAGACATTTCCTAATACAGCTTTGAGGAAGTATAGTACATTTTTAAAAACTGTTCTTTAAGTGGTTGTACCAAACTGGATGCTCCAGCACAGTTTGCCAGATGGCAGCAGTGTGAAGAAGTCTTAGCTGGGATTTGTCTGGTCCTTGATTATACTGTGTGCTGATGAGTGATAGTTGCAACCCAGTGATGGCCAGACCATTTTGACCACCCTCTGGAGGGCCTTTGCGCTTTCACATGGTGCAGTTGCCATTGCAGGTCATGATGCTGCTGGTGAGCATGCTGTGAATAATTCTGGAAGACTGGTTGGATCTTTTAAGGATCTGCATTCACTGTTGCATCTTCTACACTAGAAACTTGAGATATATACCCAGTGGTTTATATCTCTTGAGGAAGTGGATCTTTTGAGTAAGTGGATGCAGCATTGCATCTTCTTAAACAGGGGAGTAGTAATAGGGGGTCTGTGATATATATATCCCCAGGTACTGGAAGCTGGTTGCTGTCTCAGTAGGAAACCTACCCATGTAAGAAGGGACATGATCTTTCCTCTAAATTCAACTTCTAATTCTTTGTTTTGGTCAGCATGCAAGGAGAGGTTGTTATTCATGCACAAAGCACCAAGCATAGTGAATCCTTTCCTGTGGACTGATTCATCCTGATCGGAAATCAGCCCTGCGACAGCAATTTCATCAGTGAACATGGTGACAGTGTTGATGATGTACATGACCACACAGTCATGGGTGAAGAGGAAGAACAAGAGGGGCTGAGTGCACAGCTATGAGGGAATCCAATGTGAATAAGTGGTGATAGACTGGGAGGTGAAATTCATTAGTCTGATGGCCTAATATGTGCTGTATTTACGTGAACATAAATGGTTTGATGTTAGTCTAGATCTGGCAGCATTGCTCGATTGTCATGGTCTGAATAAGGTTTTAGTTAACTTGAGTTTTGCACGATTAAAACATGTAGTCCTGGCCAAAACTGACTGGACTAATAAGATAGATTTAGACATGTGCATGCTTAGATCACTTCACTGACTAATGTGTAATTTTTGTGTAATTTTGTGGCATCCTTCTGCGGCATGGGATGCTGTGAGATGACAGCTTTATGACATCAAAACAAACATGAGTGACAGAAAGCTAAAAGGCTCACACTTTTTGAGGGAGGAAGCAACATCTCTCATGTTAAGCATTTTGTCAGAAATACACATCATGAAATCCTTTCATCTTCACTTCAAGATCCAAATAGAGGGAACTCATAAAAATGTAAACTTGAGTCATGCGTCATCAAGAGTGCTTTTGACATTATAGAGTCAGACTTTGCCAGCATGCTGTAAACAGGACTATAAATGGATTAGTTATTTATATAGTTCTCGGTTTTATTCCAGGTTCTTAGACTAACTTAAGAACTGTCAGCTATTGTGTGCATGTAAATGTAGTACCTTTGTTGAAAGTGGAGCAGAAATCAACATAGAGCATTCTCATTTAGATGTACTTCCTCTCTAGATGGTTCAAATTCAGAGACTGGATTGTCTGTTTATTTATTAGGACGTTGAAGAGATGTTGAAGACGTAAGGTGTCTGACAACTGGCAGTAGGAGTACAGCTAAGCATCCCATCAGGCCTTACAGCTTCAGGAAAGTTGACTCTTTTAGTTTTCTTCAAAGAAGAGTTTTCTTCTTCATGCTTTAGTGTTGCCAGCCCAAAATCCCACAAAGAAGTTCTTTAATGTGTCTAGTAGAGAGACATGATTAACTCCAAGGTAAGAACTGGTCCTGCTCTTGTAGTCTGTGATAGCCTGGGTGCCCTGCCACAAGCACTGTGGGTCTTTGTGGTTGGTCCATTGTTTCTTGACCCTTGTGGCACAGGCTTTTTTGGCTCTTATTATGAGCTGAAGTGTGAATCTTCCCTGCTGTGCAGAGAGCAGCTTTGTCACCTGTCTTTAGGTGACAAAGCTCTCATTGTAAGCTTTCATTGTGCACAGACCTCATTGTGCATCCGCTTCAGGTTTGGTAGTCTACTGAAGGTTTCGGTCACTACTACATCATCAACTTATTTGGATACAGTTGTTATTACTTTTGTCGTGTGTGGAAGCTTCCTTGAACATACCTCTGCCAGCTTTTTTTAAAGTCATTAAATGCAATTTCAGCACCCTAGGGCCACATTCTGATGTGTTTGGTGATAGCTGTGTCTCCTTCATGCAGCATTCTGTATACTGGCAGCAAAAACAGTGATGTGTTCGGATTAGAATGTCCAAGGTGGTGCTGTCGGATGAATTTGTAGGCGTCCTGTAAATTGCTGTAAATTTAGTTCAGGATGTTTTCATTATGATTTGAATAGGAAACGTTTTAACTGTTATCCCAGGCTTATTGCATACTAGAGGTGCAACAGTTAATCAACTTAGTCGACTAAAATCGACAACCAAATTAGTTGGCAACTAACTTAAGAGTCGATTAGTTGGTGATGTCATTATGCATCTTTCTTGTGCTGACTAGGAATGTTGTGACAATACCGCTTACGGGAGAGTTGACGAAAGCGCAATGGCAGCCTCAAGTACAAAATCCTCACAAGTGGGAGAGCAAGAAGATTCATCTCAGTAAGATAGTTGTGCTAGCGAGTTAGCTAATGTTATTTTTAAAGGCTGTCCTACTTCATGTTATGAGCTATAACATCTTCTCTTTCCAAATGCATGTTCTCTGGAATCGTAATGGAGTTGGAATGGAGAAGCAAGTAACTATTATTCACAATGACCCTGTTCACTTTCCAAAACGTTTACACTTTTAAACATTGCGTTGTTGTCTTAACGTCGAGGCCACCGGTGCGTTCAAATTCGGTGAACATAGGAGGTTTCAGGAGGTAGTTCTACGCAAACATACAAAGCAGCTGGACGAAGGGTTACCGTTGAAATGAAACGTTTACACAAAATCGTTCAAACTTAACTAGTCATAGAGAACAAGTTTGCCACAAACGTTCACCATTTTCCCATCCGCTCCATCAAAGCGCATCTTTTCTGCAGTGGGGAGTATCTGCTTTCAGAGGAGAGCGAGCCTCTCACAAGAGCACGGCGAAATGCTGACTTTCCTCTGTTTCAATAAAGACCTGTGATTGTAAAATTTAGTTGCAACAGAGTGTGGAGAGACAGCAGAATGCACACAAAGCACAGACTGTAATGTTTAAAATTAAAATTTAGATTGATTTTTTATTTACTTGATTAAAGGAAAACTGATTTACTTTTGTTATATTTTATTGCTGATGCTTTGCACATCCTTGGTTTTAAATTTCAACAGGAAAAATATATTGGAGTTTTATTTATCTTTTGTGTTAGCAGGAAAGTTCATTACAACAGTGAATTTTTGAATAAGTTATTAATCTTTATTGTCTTCATTTTTACTTAGCAAATACATAAAGCAGCTTTATGCTAAACTTAAAAGCTGAGAGCTAAATGAGAGTTATTTGGTAACATAGTGATTCATAATCCATAATAATCGATCATTTGTTTCAGAATTATTATCAAATTAATCATTTGTTGCAGCCCTATTACATACAAAGGCTTATCAGTAACCACAGGGACTTCAGTGCAACCTGGCTGAGCTATTCTTATGTTATAGAAGTGTGTAGTAAAACTGTGGGCCAACTGGTGGGACCTGGCCCTTTAAAGGGTTAATTAAGCATGCAGGGCCTGTCCAGAGTATTGCACGCTGGCTGTTCCCAGTCCAATGGGTTGTGATGTCCTCCAGTACACGCTGATGCAGCTGGATGAAGAAACACAGATGACCAAGGAAAGCCACAATGTTTGTGCCCCACCTTATAGATCTACCCTCTGTCCTGCAGCTCTGACTGATCGAGGATCGGTCTACTCCCCGTCGCAGACAAAGCCTAATTACCCCCTTCCTTTTCTGTCCTCACACACACAAACACTTTGAACACACCATTCTCCAGCCATTAATGGCTTCATCCAGGTGTGTGTATTGTTCTTGTGTGTGTGAACGGTGCTTAAGGCCCCTCGCTGTGTTACATATTGATCTCTGCAGGGTTCTGGTTAGTGGGGCACTAGTGCCTGTCAATACCATCCAGCACTTACGGCACTAGACACATCAATGGGAAGAATGCTGATGCCATATTTAGCTGTTAGTCTCAGAGGCGGGTAAAGGTGCTCGGATTCCAGTATTGTTCTTGATGTGGTAATGGAATGGTGTCATTGTAATAACATGCAGGAGAATTCAACTCTATTAAGCATTCTGAATGGGCTTGTTGCTGCTTGTAATGCCATTTACTTGAACTCATAAAGTAGGAGTACAGCTACTGACTGTTTTTTATAATCAGTCTGTTGATTTCTGCTTAGAGTAATGAATCATTTTTTTAGAGTAATGAATCAAGAAAAAGGCAAATTAATTTAAGACAAACGTACATATTTAAGGCAAAATATATTATCAACATTTAAAGCCACCTTAAATGACACATATGGTGGAAAACTGATTTTTTGAGATAAAAGAATTTGTAGCATGTAAACATTGCAGGTTTCAAAACTTACCATTCACTCAGTCCAAATGGTCCATATACAAAATATAAGCTGCTCATTTTGAATTGATTGTTTTTGTTATGTCACAGAAACCAACACTTTTACATATAGTTAACCTAGTTTAGCACTGCCTGTTCACATTGAAGTTATAAGAAGCGCTTCAGCCAGATTGCTTTTATAATAAAGTAAAATTACAGTGACAGTTTTAATGGTGTAGGAACAGAAGCAAACTGTTTAAATCTAATGGATAACGAAAGGTTGGAAAATGGTCATGTAAAAATTATTTAAACCTTTTTTTGGCACATAAAAACACACAAACTTCAAAACTGGCCATCAGGGGAAAAACAGAAATAAAAGAAAAATGTAGGATGTGGGCACTTTTAAGAATTTAAAATGTAACTGTATTTTATAATATCTACAAAATGTAAAGCTTGTGTGTTACAATTGAGAAAATTCTTGACATTCAAAAAAAATTCTGAGAAAACTGAATTCTGAAAATCAGAATTGCCACAGAATTGTAAAGTAAAAGCCAAGGTAAGGCCCTTGGCTCTCACTAGAATCTTTTAAATCAAGTGCTTTTCAACGTATTTTAGAGCCTGGGGGTTTCGTGGTTGTTCTTGCTAAAGGCTTCCTGCAGTCTCAGAATAAAGTGGCATAGATGACTATGCCATTCATTCTTTGAGCTATTTTCTCTTCAGGTAGTCATACACCACTGTTATGATCCTGTACCATGCAGGTTCAGCCTTTTTAAACTGTCTTCTGGCATCTTTCTCTTTCTAAGTGAAGTGAGTGTGCTAGCTCTGCAGCAACCTAACAAATCAATAAAGAAATTGTCAAATGTTGTGTTAACATTATCAATGCCATTGATTAGTTGTTACAGCCCTAGATTAAAGTAGCCTTAAAATTGTGCGGTACTGCTTTCTAAACTCTCAGCTGTTAATAGCTTCTATGCTGTCTTTTCTATGTTGCATTTTTCATTGCTTTAGAATTTGGCAATGTGGGAATATGGGGTCTCATTTTTGAATTACGTTGCATGTACCAATACATTAACTATTTATCAGAAACATTTTCAAAATCCAGTCTGCCTCAGTCTTTTACATATGTATTTTGGCCATGTGGTCATAGTAAAACTACTGAAAGCTGCAGTTAATAGGACTCACTGGACTGACACAGCCTTGAAAGCCACCTCCTCATCTATTCCATATCATCTGAATAAGTAGTTATTAGCTACCGTTCTCCTTGCAGGACTGGCTTGGTTTGTTTGTTCTGATTTATGTGTGTATGGCTGTTATTCATTCAGAATGAGCAGTCAGATTATTAATGCAGTGTTTCCCTGGGTAAGCATAGTGAATGAAATGAGAAAATGAGAATGATGTAGTCAAGAGTGTGTTTGTGACTGTATTTGTTGATTCTGTGGTAGTTGGTGCTGGATGGCAGTGTCATAGTAGGAAGACTTGGCCTTCTAGACGCTCTTCCTTCAGATCCACCTGTAAAGGTAAATGGCTTGATGCACACACAGTTGCATATGCTATACCTGTAATGTTTTAATTGCAGATCTAAAAGAACTGTGCTAAAGCAGTGCAGTAGAAAAGAAATATATAGCCTGGAAATAAATGCCCCTATATTTCAATTGATAGGCTTATTCTTCTTACTCTCACCAGTTTGATAACTATCTGGATGACATGGAGCCAGAAGAGGAATCCTTGCATGACGCCTGCCAAGGTACTGTATTACATTCTCTGAGTCAGGGACACAAATTTAATGCATTTCACTGTAATATTTAGTGTATTAAAAGCAAGTATGTTAGTTTCTGGAAAAGTACAGAGGGTACATTGAGGGGACAGTGCTGTGAAAAAGTCTTTTCCCCTTCCTAATTTCTTCTATTTTTGCATATTTGTCACACTTGAATGTTGAATATAATCAGACTGCTTTTAATATTAGACAAAGTTAACCCAAGTAAACACAAAATGCTGTTTTTTAAGTTGATGACGATTCATTTATTGAAAGAAAAATGTTGTTCAGCCCTACTTGGCCCTTTGTGAAAAAGGGCCAAGTAGGGCTGAACAACATTTACCTACTTACCTACTAAATCATCAGTATTGACTATTGAGTTCAGTTTTACTAGCAACACCCAGGCATGATTACTGCCAGACCTGTTGAATCTAAACATCACTTGAACCTGCCTGGCAATGTGAAGCAGGCTACAAGGTCTCAGCAAGCAGCATATGATTCGACATTCTAAAGAGATTCAAATATACATGCAAAACAAAAGTCATTGAAATCTACCAGTCTGGAAAGGGTTGCAAAGCCATTGCTAAGGCTCTGGGTCTCCAGTGAACCACCGTGAGAGCCATTATCTACAAATGGAGGAAACTTTGAGCAGTGGTGAACCTTCCCAGGAGTGCCCGGCCTACCAAAATTTCACCAAGAGTGCTTATACGACTTGTCCAGGAGGTCACCAAAGAACCCAGATAAACATCTAAAGAACTGCAGACCTCACTTTACTCAGTTAAGGTCAATGTACTTGATTCCACAATGAGAAAGACACTGGGCAAAAATGGCATCCATGGGAGAGTTGCAAGGATGCAAACCACTGCTGACCAAAAAGAACACAAAGGCCCATTTTGCATTTGCCAAAAAACATCTAAATGACCCCCAGACTTTTGGGATAATATTCTGTGGACTGATGAGTCAAAGGTTGAAATTTTGTGGACGACATGGCTCCTGTTACATCTGGCTTGTCATAATTGAGAGAACTGTGAATTCTGCTCTCTGTTAGAACATCCTGAAGGAGAATGTCCGCCCATCAGTTCATGACCTAAGCGCAGTTGGGTTATGCAGCAGGACAATGATCCAAAGCACACAAGCCACCTCTGAATGGCTCAAAAGAAACAATATTAAGATTTTGGAGTGACCGAGTCAAAGTATCCCATTGAGATGCTGTTGTAAAACCTTACAAGGGCAGTTCATGCTCAAAAACCCTCCAATATAGCTGAATTAAAACACTTCTGTAAAGAAGTGTGCTCCAAAATTCCTCCACAACGATGTAAAATACTAATCACAAGTTATTGCAAATGTTCGATTGCAGTTGTTACTGCCAAGGGTGGCACAACCAGTTATTAGGTTTAGAGGGGCTATAACTTTTTCATATGGGTGATATAAGTTTTGAATAAATCTTTATCTTCAATAAATGGAATGATCATTTAAAAGCGACATTTTGTGTTTACTCATGTTGTCAGAGCTACAAATTTTAAAGGAAGACGTTCTGGCTAATAATTGCAAATTGTTAGATAAGAATGTTTTTACCTTGTAATCAAGAAACAAAGTTTGTTGTTAATACTAGAAAAACATTACATGTATATAAAAATCAAATCATAACATCCCAAAATTTAAATTTTAATTGTAGAAGTATTTTAGCATGTAAGATTTCATTTCTCATTGTTGAGAATTCAAGTTCATTATAATTGCAGTAACAATTTTACTAACATGAATTTAAGATTAACATGGTAAAACATTTTTGCTATTGTTTCCGCACAAATATAAAAAATAAATTGACATGCAGAAATTTTTATTACTATGGCAAGCCAAGCCACTTTTTTTTACTTCTTATTTTTGTGGATCTCAGGAATTCAGTTTACACATGTGAAAATTACATTTCAGCTAGTAAGTATTTAATTCTTGATAGCAGGAATTTGCATATGTGAAAATAAACATTACACTAGTAAATATTATATTTCAGCTAGTAAAAATTCAGTTTTTATTTTTAAGAAATGAATTCTTTACTACTAAAAATGTCATTTTCACATGTGTAAATTGAATTCCTTAATTAAAAGCATTTGTAAATTAGAAAAACTGGATTAAAGGTTAAAACTGTGTGCTATAAAATCAATTCAAACATGTAAATAAAATCTCAACATGCAAAATTGTTTTAGATTACAAGCTAAACCTACTTTCCACACACAGGAGGGAGAGTCATGAAACATAGAATTTTTAAGTTCTGTTTTAAGTCTGTTTTAGGTACAGTGCTAGTTAAATCTACCAATCTGGAATCCTGCTGAAGCATGTCTTCTTCCACCTCGCGTTCTCCTACAACAGCAGTTACCAGGTTTACTGCCAGAGTGGTTCAGGCGTCTTTTATTTTATTTATTTATTTATTTATTTATTTTTTGCAGGATTCTGTTTTGCTGCTAGTGAACTCAAGTGAGATAAAAATGCAGCAACACCTCACATTGTACAAGCAGTAAAACACACCAGTAATCCTCATTTATGAACGACCAAAGATGTTACCACAACGCCATTTGATCTTAACATCACAGTAAATCTGGCAGTGCATTTTATGAATCTGGCCCTTTGACTTTGGAAAGTAAATTTAATTTAAATATGTTTATATAACTTTTGTACATATTTTATTTTCAGAAGAAATGTGATGTAGAGACAGAATTATGCCCTGACTGCAAGATTCATTAAAATATTGTACTATACAGTAGTAGTAAACTCTAATTACATAGATATACCTCTCAGGTGTATATGTAAATTTTTTTACAGGTTCACCTTATATGTAATATGGTTTAGTGTGACTCGTGCATGCTATTTCTGTAATTAGAGTCTCCATACACCTGATTTAAATATATTACCATGTATTATGCATATTCAGTACATACATGCAAATTAAGAACAACTGCCCTGTTCTTAGAGGGGCGGGCAGTTGCTTTTGCTGACAAGCCTTAATATGCTCAGTGAGCAGACCTATAATGAGCGGGAACATGTGTCAGCCCTCCTATTCATCTCTGTAAGTCTCTGCTTTAGTACTAATGACCTCTAATTAAAGAAAGCCTGGACCACAGAAACACTCCATAGAAACTATATGTGTGAAAGGAAGCTCATAGTGCAGATGATGCCCGTTTTAACCACCAGCCACTTTCTCTAGTGAAGGCTGGACAGTGCAAGAAGGAGAGCAGAGAGAGCTAAAGAAAAGAGGGCAGGGGGTTTTAGTCTTGCACCATTCAGTCTGTGTGCAAATCACAAGATGTTGCGTCTGGGGTGCCAGTCAAAGGCGCTGACTAACAGAAAGGTAGTATGAACTTCACCCCAATTAGCATTAGTAATTATGTAGCTGCTGTGGTGTGTAAAATAAGACAGACCAGGAGAGAGAGAACGTTCTGGAGAGTGCAAAGCTCAGCCTTACATGAAGTACCGCATAATTGCCATTACTGCAGGGTTCAATGGCAATTATGTGGCCGACGTCCAGATGAATCCTACACCAATTTGAGAATAGGTGCTCTGATGATTCCCTGATCCAACTGGAATAAGGCTCACAGAAAGCATGAACTTTAACCCTTACCTAATTTTTCATCAAAGAAATGTTTGGAGATTTTGGCTTTGTACTCTAACTCATTACAGTCTTCTTCCGGAGAAGTCATGACGATGTATGTCCAGTTTTTGGTGTACTATTGTGTTTCTTATTACTATATAATAGAGATGCAACGATACACAGACTTTACGACACAAAACGTAATGCTGTTTTTTTGTGTTAGTATAATATGTTTTTGATACAGAATTAGAAAAGAATGCTAATATAACTTTCTCATTTCTTTATTTCTATATTTATTTTCTGATAATTCCCAAAATGTTTTTCCCCCAAACAGACAACAGTGATGAAGAGATAACTGGTACGTCATTTTCTTAGAAGACATAAAATAAATAAAAATTATGTAAACAAAAGGGCAAGATATATATTGCATGCTGCACATGGGTGTTTGGCAAACAGGTATGTTATTATGGCTCATAATAATAAAAATAAAACAAATATGTGGACTATAATGCTACATCTCAAAATCAAGTTCATTTACAATCAGATGTTGTGTTTCTATATAAATTATGCCTTTTACCTTCAGTCTGAAATGAGTGCGATGGGGGACTTTGTTACATGGCTCAACCACTGCAAGCAAACTGCAGATTCCAGGACTCCCTACAACTGAGTAGCTATTTAGAAGCTAAAAGCATCCCTGCAGACCCATTCAGACTCTGCACTTAGCGTCTGTTTGAATCCTATGTGGAGAGGTAGCTGCTGCTTTCTCCTGATTCTGGTAACTGACACATTTGGGTGAGTCCTTACAAATAAGTTAGCATACTTGAGCTATTAGCACAGATATTTGATACTCACACAATGTCAGCACACTGTCACTATTCGATCTACCACTGTTTGCCCATCACTGTTGCACTCAAATGGGAAATCGAAATGATAGGAGGAGGTAGACGCAAAGAAAACTTTGCTTCTCCCAGGTCAAGCTTGCTTCCTGCTCACCATTTCAAACAGCCTGGCTAATCAACCCAGATAGACAAAGCTGAAGTTAGTTTCTTATTCGCCAGCTTCTTTTTTTTCTCATGTTTCTGATTGTAACTGTTGCACCATTTAAGGTAAATCAGAAATGTAGGATTAGAAACTGTTGGATTACAAATCATCAACTTCATCCAAGATAACCTAGCTAAAACATTTTTTTTCTGGTTTTGAGAGCTGTGTGGTGCAGTATTTTTTTATATTCATGGTAAAAATTTAAGGAATATCATTGGTTGTGTTAGATAGAGCTATAGAAATTCACGACATCACTTATTTTATAACATGAAATCTAACTGTATTTAATACAGTGCGTATTGTCTCGCAACCCCCCTATCTATTCTATTCTAAAAACAATATTCAGAATATTAACATGCGTATCGTGACACCCCCTACTACATGAAGAAGCACAGTGTTGCCTTTGTTGTTGGATACACTGTGATAGTATCTGAATGAATGTGCAGAAACATTCAGAACAGAATTTGGATCGATAAACATGTATTATCAGGGTTGAGACGGTAGGCAAATTTGAAAAATCAATTGATTAGGACAAAATGAACTTCATTAAGAACTCAGGTATTACTTTATAAGTGTGGTGGACGTCTATGTCTGTGTACAAGTGTGAATCTTCTGTCATCAGTTACCATGAGATTCTGTGTAACTGAAGACAAATTCCTTGTATGTGCAAACATACTTGGCCAATAAAGCCTGAATCTGATTTATTGTAAAAAATTGTTGTGTGTCAAAAGACCTCACATCAACTAAACTAAATTAATAAAAAATGAAAGCCATCATGTCTGATAGTGTGTAGCAGTGCACCAGTGTGACATTCACTCACACTGCGGCTCACAGGACAATTCACTGCTGTGTGTGTGAAGGATTGGAGCACAGAACACTCATGCATATGAAATATATATGCATGAAAACATGAAATAAAAAAAAGCCCTGCTAAATTCTGCCTATTGATTCCATGGCTGTTGCTGATACTTATTGATCAATTAATAAGTAATCCCAGCCCCGCTTATTATTGATTTGTTTTATCAAAGTAACAAAAAGTGATTGAAGTGTGAGTCCTATTCATATGCTTGCTTGCTGAGAATGATAGTTTGTGATGTAAACAAAATAAAGATCTATACATTTTTGGGTTTGTGAAGTCAAGATAATTACATATAAAAAGAAGTGCAAAAGAAGTGCAACAAGAGCATTGGGAAATAACCTTATTAAAGAAGAATAGTACAATAAAGGCAGAAGTGCATGCTTTTTTGCTTCAGCATTAAAGGGTTAATTGTCGTTTGACAGACTTTTTTCAGCTGTTTATGTGCGGTAAAGATTTTGCATTGCAACCTTACAGAAGCCCTCTGATTCATTAGGCTGAACATTCTTCTTGTGTTTTTTTACTGTGCCAGTTAATGACCTTGCCTTTGATGCTGCTTTCCTAATAGCAGAGTCTGGATATGGATTTTTAAAAGGTATTTGAACATTACTGTGTATGCGCACACAGAGATGAACCTTCTGACACACAGACACACACATGCACATTCAAAGATGCTTGGATCTCTCTCAGCAACCGAAAGCATGACTTTCACTGTTGGGATAATTAGCTGTTTAATTAAGATCAGCATTGCTTGCACACTCTCTAAGAGTGATCACAGAAACACACAGATGCACACATAGGTTAAACATAGGGAGCGAGCCACAGATGAGGACTGGAGTCAGCAACTTGGACTTGAGTCCCATGTTGGCTGACTCACGACTTGATACTCACTATAAGAACTAGCTATCGTAGCTAAAATTGTAAACTAATCTTGCGTTACAGATCTCATTCCTTGAAAAACTCACTAAAACTGCAGACTGACCCACTGTTTCAAGTTGTTTAGCCTCTTTCCTTTAAATACCACATTTACTTTTTGTATTACTTCAGTTCTGTTCTTAAATTTGTTTTTCCTATAATGAAAGGCTTGTTATTTGAAGTTGTATTGAAACTGACAGGTTTTTAGTGGGGGCTAACTTCTGTACAATACATTTCTTGCTGCTACTAGCAAAACTAACCTCACATTAACTAAAAAACTAACCTCTACTAGAGACTCGAGACTCAACTTGCATTTGCACCTAGTGACTCGAGACTCAACTCAGACTTGCATGCCAGAGACTCAAGACAGGCAGCCAAAATACTCAAGACTTGACTTGGGCTCTCAAGTCGACAGTCTTGACACAGACTCTCACGGCAGACTCAAGGCTCAATGTGGACTCATGCATCAGAGACTCGAGACTCAACTGGGACTCGCACAGCAGAGACGGGAGACTTGTCTTTGGCTGGCCTAGCACATACTCGAGACTTGACTCGGACTTGCATGCCAGACACTCGAGACTTGACTCGCACTTGCATGCTGAAGCTGTGAGACTCGACTGAGTCTCACACGCTGAAGACTCAAGACCTGACTCAGACTTACACACTCGACCTTGACACTCGACTTGGACTCGGAGACCAGAGACTCGTGACTTGACTCGGACTCGCACACCTGAGACTTAAGACTTGCCTTGGACTCGCATGCCAGAGACTTGAGACTTAAGTCGGACCCGCGCAATGGATACCCGAGGCTTGAGTCAGGCTTGCACGCCAGAGACTCGAGACTTGACTTGCATTTGCAAACCAGGGATGTGAGACTCGACTTGGTCTCACACACCAAATACTCAAGACTCAACTCAGACACCAGCTTGCACACCAGAGCCTCTAGACTTGACTCAGACACCCAAAACTCGAGGCTTGACTTGGACTTGCATGCAAGAGACTCGAGACTTGTCTCAGACTTGCACACCAGAGATTGGCATGAATCGACTTGTGAACACAAGTCCAAAGTGGTCCAAAAAGAGAGTACATTTAATGACGCTACATAATGAAAGTCTATACACATAAAGGATGCTGCTTTGACAGTCATTGTCAGCACCTCAGCAGCCCTATATCATTACAGTCATTGTTGATATAGCTGTGGAGTGCATATGTATGTGTGTGCATCTGAGTGCACACATTCACTTGCAGTGCTTTGCACCTGTCTCTATAATCAGCCCCAGCACAATTAGCAGCCAGGCGGAGAGGTGATTATAGCCACCCGTGCCTTTAATAGAGATTAAACATCACTATAAAGCCTTTCATATGTCTGTCAGCAGATGGATCTTGAGTTATAGTGTGTGTGTGAGAGAGAGTGTGATTTTTTTTTCCTTCAGCTCTAAGGTTTCGTTAAACTCATTGAGACATGGTTTTTGACAGCTTTAATTATCTCCACTTCTTTGTGTGGTGTGGCGGTCTTTTTTACAGGCCCAAGGTGATCAACAATGAATGTGTTGAGGATTATACTTTTCACTGCACCGTTGTACTACTGCATGAGCTAACCGACAATTATTACTGTCTTATTAGAATCTTGGAATAAGACACTGAATGTTAGATATATCCATATTCTTGTAAGGCAGGCTATTGTGTATATGTGAAAATGTATCCATGTGTCTTTCTTTCTGTAAATACAGAGAAGCATTACTCATTTTATTACGATAATGCTAATGCTGATATTGATAGAAAAGCTTTTATAAAATGGAGCATTTGGCACTACATCTACCTGTAGTAGCGTTACAGACAACTACAGCTAGGTTTAGGAATGTGCACGGGAGTACTCAGGTTTAGGGATGTGCATGGGAGTACTCAGTTAACCAGTTAGCCGATGCCAATATCCAGTATTTTTCATGTACATACAATACTATGCAAATGTCAGAGACCACCCTTCATTTTTTATGTCCAGTCAAAACAGCCATTATATACAAGTTATTCATTTTTTCAGCATCAGGAAAACAAAGCAGAACACATTTGTTTATGCAGAAAATTACACACAAGTCCCAACAACTAAATTAAATATATTTTCTTCAGCATTTGGTGTGTTTGCCCTTTGCCTTTAGTTTTATCTGCAGGGATACTTTTCAGTCATGTTGGTTGCATTTAATGCTTCTCACGATCCAAGTAATCCCAAACATGTTCAATGATGTCGAGGTCTGAACGCTGGGCTGGCCAGTCTGTTGTTCTGCAAATTTTCTTTTTTTTGTCTCTTTCCTTTTGTCAGTAACAGCTTCTTGACAGCTACACATCCTTTCAGACTCATAGTGTTGAGGTTTCTTTTCAGAGAGGAAGAATGGACATAAACAGCTGTGAATTGTTTCAGATTTGAAGAAAGTGATTTTCTCCAATCTGTCAAAGATAAAAGCTTTAAGTACTGTTTATCTGACGGTGATTTTGGTGGTCAGGTCTTGCATGGTTGTTAGGAGTCCTGTTTTCTCCACATCTTTTGGTAATTTTTTTGTACTCTAGATTTGGAAGCTCTTTTTGTCAGGATCAGCGTTACAGCAAAAGGTGTCAACAAAGTGTTATGCTTTTCTGGAGTACAAAAAATCATCATTAAACATTGGTTCAAAATATTGGTCAAATCGGATCATCTGTCCGATGCTGAAACATTATTTAAGTAATTATCTGCCGATACCGGTATGATTTTGATGGCATCAGGCATCCCTACTTTTCATAGAGGTGTATGAGTATATATGTATATGCGGTAGGCTAATGTTGTCCTCTTGCTGTCAGATGTAGCAAGCCTTCCTGGAGAGGTTGAGGAGGATTTGCCGGTCTACACACCCTCTTTCTGTCATTACACACTGCTGGAACTCTCCTCTACTGCTCTACACAGGGCACACACTCCCCAGACCACTGCTGAGTGCCAGGTACACACAGACACACACACACACTCAGACAATCACACTCTTTTCCCAGTGCTCCATTTCTTTGTCTCTAAATTTCCCTTCACACATACTTTTCACTACATTACTCACTCTGGGGCCTAACTCAATTCAGTAATGGGCTTTCATCAGACACTAAATAGAACAGAAGTGAAATAGCAATTTAACTAAATTGATTCAAACTGCTAGGATTAGGTGTAAACAATGTAATTTGGTTAATTGCATAAACACACAGTGAAATTAGAGTAAAGCTTTTGATTCGTGTGTCGAATATGAAGGGCTATCTTTGTCTTCCCAGAGTGAAACTGAAGAAGTTCTGCCTTTCAGTCTGGATGACACCTTCGACTATGACAATGTAGTGCTGTCTCACAAACATCCCACCCAACACAGCACCAGTGGATCCTCTTGACCCGTAAGTGACCACAGTCGAACTTAGGACAACTAAGGAAATGGAGCAGCTGTGTATCTGCCAAATAAACAGCTCATAAAAAAGCTGGAGTCATTATGTTATGTACAGTGTGTGGTAGAAGAGAACACGTTGTGCTGTGTTTTTGAGCATTCGCTGAACTGTGGTGTATTTTTCCTCAGTGTTTTTTTTTTAAAGACTGCAACTGTTCAGCCCATAAACAGCAATAATGGTGGTTTGATATTGTGCTGCTCTAATCGGCGTGTAAGCGCAGGGCATTTCCTCCAAAAAAGCCATCTACGCATAAAGAGGCCCGTGGCACTGCAGCCAGTTAGGGTTCAAAACCAGCATTACTGTTTTTTGCATGCGAGAATCTGTGGCTTGCCGCTTTTTTGGGTATCCCACTGAGAACACTCTTGGGAGAGCAATTAAGTTCTTGTCGTTACAAGCTGCATCGCACTGTGCTTTATTCACTGGAACAAAACGCTTCAAGACTTTTTTTGTTTCCTCTTTGTGAACATTTGAAAACCTGAATAAAAGCCCTGTATTTTAGTCTGACCAAGCTCTGCCCTTTTGTTCATGGTTTTGCTTTTTATTCTGACATTTTACAAAAAAACTAAAAGTGTCTGTTATTGAGTACTATGAGTTATTTCACACTGTGCATTCTGTAATTTTTCCCCCTCCTTACATACATGGCTGCCAGCTGGCTGCACTTCCTTTTTTTTCCTTTAACCTTTTTCACAAATTTGTAAGAGTCCTGTTGTCACAGGGGATGCCAGGAATTCAAGCAAGGTAGCTGAACCACGACTGTTCATTTACCTCTCTAAAACATTAAGAAGATTGTGTGCATATTTCAGCTGGCTGCTCTGTCTGCGGCCATGCATTTTTAATGCCCTTTCCCGTCATCTCACATTTAATTGGTGGGTGGAAGGGCTGGAACAAGCCAGAAAGAAACGAGACCTTTTCAGTGTACAGAGACGCACTGTTACGCAATTTGAAAACGGACATGTTAGTGAAAAACAGAGAACACTCAACGTAGTTGTATTTGGTGTGAATGATTGCAAGAAAGTTTGCAGTGTAGTGCAAAACTGCAACATGGTCTTTTTATTAAATTGCACATTTACAAAATATGTCTGAAAGAATTCCATGTATGCTAATTGGCCATTTTCTGTAACATGATTTCTTGTTGCTAAGTGATGAGAGCAGACTGTGTATGTATGTGCGTGTTCACATTTGACAGTTCCAACGTGCATTAAGGGGGTCCCAGCAGGTGGAAGCGGTCGCTGTTTGCCAGGTGGGCAACCTCAGTGTGCTCTGTTAGCCCATGTGTGTCATAACCACGGCTTTTCAGTTAGAGCAGCTCCTGAGAGAGAGAGATGGAGAGCGAGATAAAGAGGGCAACCCCTTTCTTCCTCTGCATTCTAAGACTGATGTGTCTCTATGTGTATGGTGTTTATAGTGAAGCACTTAACAGTCTGGCCTTGGTGATAAGGTTGGAAAGAACTATGTAGAAAAAATACAAAGTCCAGTATGTTCATCTAAATGGATTCAACTGTGCCTTCGTGGCTTAGATCACCAAGTGTGCATTTTCTGATTATTTCCCATGCTCCTAGACCCACATTACCAAACAGTTCCAGAAGGAGAGGTAAATAGAGAGAGATAAAGGGGGCAACCCCGTATTCTGCCCCCGCATTCAGAAACAGGTGTACATGTGTGGTTATGTTTGTCAGTGGAGCGCTAACAGTCTTTCCCAGGTGATAAAGTCAGAATGAGGCAAAAAAGCTGAACTTTTGTATCTAAAAGAACGCTACTACAGAAATGCTGAAGTTTTCTGACAAGGCACATTTAAACAGTGTTATGTATTAGGGATGTAATTGATTAACCGATTAACCCACAATTAAACAATTGTTGACCAATGATGTCAGTAAAAAAATCGTTAATTTAATTTTATTTAATTTACAGTAAACAACAATTACTATCTGTATAGGCGGGTTAATCGAGTAAGTTGAGGACTGTTTTTAAATTGTATGAATGAGGGTGCGATAGGTTTTTGGTTCTGCTAGATAGGCGTACTGAAAAATAAAGCGAGCAGCTAAAAATTAGGACGTTCTGGACCGCTTTTCGAGAGGATGATAGCACAGCTGCAGTGATTTACCGTATTGTAATCAAACAGACACAAGTGATGTACAGTGGTGTGAGGAAATCACACATGGGTGTAGTCAAATGGTTTTTATTCGTTCCTCAATATAACCTGTATACATTGGAATGAAATGTATAAGTTGTACAGTGAGAGTACGGCCCCATAGTAGTATTCAAAGAATTAAAAACTTTGAATGCAGGTGTGCAAAGGGTCTAGATTAGTCCAGGTGGATTTTGGGTGATATAAAAGCATTCAGTAATCTGACTGCCTCTTGAGAAAATTGTAATGTCGAAAATTTTAGAGAAGGACGTAGTGGATGGTCAACTGTGGTATACTGAGCCAAAGCTAGTCCTGGTTGTAGCAGTTGTGTACTAGTTGGGCTCGTAATGAGTGGTAAATGTAACTTTAGAGCTTTAGAATGTAGAACTTTCTATAGCCCATCATTGTATATTCCATTCATTTTGTCAACTGTTTAGTTTTTGGTCATATAATGGTGAACATATAGCTGTCAGCCCCCCTGTTTAAACAAAACTTGGGTTCTTATGTAGGGCGTGTTTGATACAGTTTTGGGACATTTATTTCATATACATGCTTATGTCTGGCCATTACTATCAGTACTATGTTCCATTGTCCATACAAGGAACACATTTCAGTATCTCAGGGCATTAATACAGTATTCAGCTGATGCATGCTTTTGTAAGTGAGTGTATATCAAGTATTTGACGATGGCTTCAAACGTGGCTCGGCCAGTCACTGATACTTTGATGGGTCCATCCTTGATTTTAGACGTGTCAATCAAAATTTAATCGCTGATGAATGATGGTCAGTTATCAGTCAAAAGAATTTGCCAAACATTTGCATCCCTACTATGTATTATTAATGTGTTAATTCTGATAATGCTGTATGTACCTCAGAGCCCTAACTGACAGAGTAAAGAGATTATACGTTGTGATTAAGTCTTTGATTCTCAGGCATAAGTTACTAGTAACTGCTAAGTTTTCTGTCCTTTTCATATAAAGGTGGGATCATAAGAGAATTTAACACTTCTTAGGCTGACCTGCAGCTGTATTCACTTTCAAGGTGTTTGGAGTCTGCTGTATTGTTCTGTAATGTAATGAATTTTCATGCCATTTATGTCATCTGCTGTGATGTGAAGGATATTTGTGTTGTGTTTGTCAAGGTGTTTTTTTCTCCTGAGGGGGTCACTGTTGCGTTGTTGGTTGATCATCAGCGTTTGTTCATGAACCTCTTTAAGAGCTGATGTGCTTTGCACTATGAATAATGACATGCATAGGCTTAAGTTCCTTAATAAGGAAATAATATTAATAGTAATAACGCATATAGTGAGTCATCATTCACCACAAAGCTGGACCTTTAAACTCATTAACTGAACGTACAATAATTGCGTGAACAGCAGAGGAATAAAAGTTCCCTTGATGATGTGTAGCTTTTGAAGTTGGCCTAAGGGGAACAACCAGGTCAGCATGTGGCTTTAACATCGTGTGCCTTTGATGACTCATGCTATTACTCAGCATGTGCACATGGACAAATAACTCACATTATTACACATCTTCTTCAGAAAATACAGTTGATAGAACCTTTTTTTCTGGAAATGCAAACGGAAAATCCTGCAGCGGGTAGGAATCCTCCCAGCACCCAGAAAGAATTTGTTCAGAAAGAGGTAGGCCGCCAGTGAGCCAGTGCAGTCCTCTTTGTCCTGCCTCTGCCTGCTGTGTTATTGAAGACAGAAGGCTTATCAGGTATGGAATGGATGCATTTTTACTCTCTCACAGACAGAACCGAGTGAAATTTACAGAGCAGTGCGACATGGAAAGATTTCTGCTGTTCTGAACACATGACAACATACAAAAGCCTGAAAATAGGAAAGAAGCTATTTGAAGAGCCTCTTCTAAGAATGAGTACTAGCAAAGATAGCGTACTTTCATGCTTTAGCCAAATAACAGCTATGAATAAATAATCTGACAAGTGATGGTAAAGATAAAGCACACTTGATCTGAGGTTGAGAGCTTTCTCTTTCAATTTGCAATGCTGAGGGCTGAAAATGAACAATGCCTGAGTTAACCTTCCACTGTTGTATGTATGTGTGGATTTAGTGTAACTTCTCTAACATTGCATTATCCCGGTAATGGGTCTTGATGGCTCAGCCCTTAATGGATTTCAGGAGAGACTTGGGATTAATGGACTGGTGGTGTTTAGATTTACGTCCGCGTCCTTTCTGCACGTTTATAGTTGTGGAAAACAGGAGTTAACAGTGTCTCTGTGTTATTTGATTATTTCACCGGTCTAGCACACATTTATATCCCCGTGGACACCGCTAAGGTTTCATTGATTTACAACAAGATGAAATGATGCTGTAATAAAAGTGTATGATAATAAAGCCTCATGCCGCAGAGAGGGAAAAGGGAGAGGGATAGTGAGCGAGAGATAGAGGCAGAGAGAGAGAGAGAGAGAGAGGACACTGCTGTTGATCTCTAAAGCACTGTTTATGCAAATACTCTTATTCTTCTTAATGCTTGCCGTCACCTTGCCCAGGCCCTGTGAGACAGCGCTGCAGTGGCACTGCTGCCGTTGCTGAGGGGGGGAAGTGGGGGAGGGGTGATATAGACGGAGTTACAGTAGGAGCTAGATTGAGCGGTGAGGTAGAGAAACCATGCCAGAGGGAGATGTTCTGAGGCAGGGTCTGGGTCCTGGATGAGGTGGGATTTCGCGCTGGATCAGACGGATTCAGTCAGGGAATGAGTCATGGTGCATATAGCTAAACTGCCAGTACCCTCTCAAGTTTGGCCCTTCCTGACTCTGTCTTACCCTCTAAAACCATGCATTGAGGCTCAGTGCTTAAACAAGTCACCTACTAATTGAAACAGTGACCATAAGACTCAGAAGTGTTTCAGATACAATGCAAGGGTGTAAATGTGCATTGATCTCAAGGTGGCAATTAAACTGCATTGATTTTGAAATGTTAGATTTAATTATAATTGTTCAGTAAAGTGTGCTCTCATTTTGAAATTTGAAAATTAAAATATTGGTTTGGTTTGTTTTTACTGAAATATGTCTTAATAAAAATAAACGTGCTGAGAATCTAAAACTTTGTGTATTGTTTTTATTGTTTTATGTGTTCAGGAAAACACCAGTATTAGAATAAATACAAATAACATAAATACAATAAATAATGATTTTGCATATGTGAGTGTGTTTGTTTAACTGCTCCTCATGGCAGCCTAGTATGTTTTGTAATTATCATCCAACTCCTGTTTTGGCTAATCAATACTTCATTATGTTAAAATAAAGTGTGCTGCTGATGGAATTTATCAAATTAGTGTGATGGCTGGGGGCATCCGGGAGAAATCTGGAACCAAGCCTTTGTTTGTCAAACTTCTTTATAAGACTTCAG